ATAATTATTTGCTCTTTCGTTGAAGATTCGTCGATAATTATTTGCTCTTTCGTTGAAGATTCGTCGATAATTATTTGCTCTTTCGTTGAAGATTCGTCGATAATTATTTGTTCTCTCATTGGAGATTCGTCACTAATTATAATTATTGGTTTTTTCGTTGAAGATTCGTCGCTAATTAGTTGTATTTTCTTTGAAGATTCATCGATAATTATTGGTTCTTTCGTTGATGATTCGTCGCGAATTGGTTGTATTTTCATTGAAAATTCGTCGATAATTATTGGTTCTTTCAATATTTGGTCTTTGTTTGGAGTTTTATAGCCAGCACTAAATGGGTCTATTTGCTCTTCTGATTTACTTGTATTAGTATTTGAACGAAAGAAATCATTTTCTTTGAACGCCGGAATGTTCCAGCAAGGGAAAAGGTTTACGTATCTCTTCTGCGAATGAAACGAAATATGTTTTAACGTATTATTAAAGCTATTGAAAATGTAATTTCTCCTGTTAACTCGAATAATTCTATTAACGTAATATTGAGACATTTTTTGAACAATTCGCGTCATTGCTGTTGATTCATTTTTTTCTTATGCAAGTTTCCAAATATAGAATGTAATAAATAAATAACGATAACATCTAGTAGTCACGAGTTTAATGTCATACAAGAAACAATTTCGAAATATCTTAATTATTTTGGTGTTTTTGAATCATTAAATTTTGGAAACCATCACCATCAACAATCTTTGCACTAATACCCAAATCGTCAAGCACCTCACTTTGTACAGCACGGATCGGTGTAAGCTCACCGACGAGTTTTTGATTTTCTGAGTTTTGGTATAGTAGATTTCGGATTGCGAATATTGATTGTTCTCGTAGAACTGTGGGAAGAGTTATCAAATTATATGAATGTAAATATATATATATTTATGTATTTATATTTGATAACTTACATGGATTGTTGTCGTCGATGTTACATTGATTCAAGATCAATTGAATACCTCCTAATCTTCTTACCTAATTAATAGTAGATGTTAATATTTATTAATTGAAATTACGCTTTTTACTATTAACGGATTATTTACCAACCTCATCTTGTACAATTCTATTTTCGTATGCCAGATTACTGATTATTTTAACGATGTCGTATTTGATGTAGTTGTATTTTGTAATGGTATCATTAATGGTATCATTATTGTTAATTATTGTTGATGTTGACATTGTGACTTTTGTTATTCGTGGTAATGTTGAATCTGCTTGTCTTAATAAATCTAAATGGGAAAGATCAATTAATCTAACTAATTAAATTCAAATAATAACTATTAATATTTTAAATACCTATACAAGACGCAAGGATTCCATTCTTGAACAAATATTCTCGAATATTTCCATTATTGTCGTAATCATCCTCTTCGTTTATTTCATCATCTATAAATTGACTCGAATCTCCAATAATATTTAACAAGAGCCTCAAACAGGTGATTCTTCTTGTTGATATTGTATCATCCTCAGACTTAAGTTCTGCTGTCAGGGTATCAGTAAAAATGCTAGTATTGTTATCATAGATCACTGATTGTTGATTCTTTATAGCTTCCATCTCCTTAATAATTTCAGGTGTAATTGAATTGAATAGACGAACAAGATAAGAGCATGCTTGTGATAATGTTGATAATAATAATGGCGAATTATCGTTAAAGAGTTTAGAATAGAGTAATTTCAAAAGAACTATTTGATTCTGCGTAAGTCTAAATAAACAAATAATTATAGATTTGGTGAAGATATAAAAAATGCATATACGTAGAGAGAACAAGACTGTTATTTACCCATTAGTTTTTGCTTCTTCCGAATCATATAATTTCTCAAAAAGTAGCGGGAAAAGATCTAATTCTATTATTCTGGATATCAATGCATATCTAAATAAAAAATGATAAATCATTTGCAATATTAACGAATCTGAATTAAGTCAATCAAAACGTACATTAATTCAAAGCTTTTCTTTGCTTCTTTTTCTCCTTTAACACCCGCCTCGTTAATAGAAGATCCAGCTTCATGTAAAATTATTTTCAGTAATCGAGCGCCAACGCTTGATTCTATTAATGCTTTACTAAGTTCAAGAATAAAGTGAATTTTTATATTAAATTTTTAACATTTATACATAATCTCTTAAAAGAACAGGAATAATTACCACCGTGATTCATTATCATGCATCGTATTGAAAACTAGCACGAGTGTACTTAATAGTACAATGTCATCGCCGCAAGAAGCTAACTTACTATATTAAGTTGGAGAAAGATATAAAAATATGTAATAAAAAAAATAATGGCATCAATTAATTTATTACTCATTACCTTAATAAATCTTCATTAAAAGATTCCACTTTTTCTTTATCTTTCAAAGACGACAATAATAATAGTTCATCCCAGATAATTTTTTGCGCACTCGAATTACCAGTAATTATATTTGATAATGCTTGTGTACCTGATCTTGTTATATTCAATAATAGCGCTTTTGTATATAGATCGAGAAAGATAATTATTAATTTTAAAAGAGATTTTTATTGGGAAAATAACAGAAGTAAGCTATGTTGCACACTTTGTTGATTTGGTTGTTGATAAAGATTTGAGGTACAATAAACTAAGATTTCTTCGATAATCTTATGCCATTCGTATTTCCTGTTGAAAAATGATAATTAAGGAGATATTTAAGAGATCAATAAAAGTTAAATAAATAATTATACACACACATTGCATAATTTTGATTTTCCTCTATTTCAGCAACAAAATTTCTAATCATTCTCAATATCCACATGATCAATTCCAAATAATTCGAATTCAGGTCTTTTTCTTCTTTCGATGATGATAATAATTCATCGTAAAGATTCTTTGTCAGAATCATTGATTTTTCCAAAAATTCTTCATTTTTGGGTAATTCATTTCTATTTAAAATAACAATTATGGATTGGTATACGCAGAAAATCAAAAAATACTCGACTAACGGTTCGAGAAAATGTTAATACATACCGATAATCTCGATTCGATTGTAATTCAGCAACTATTAATTTCAGAGCTTTAATAATATCCGTGAGAATAATTACAATATTTTTACTATTGTCATTATTATTATCATTAGCAATATCATAATTATTCTGATACTGGGGTTTTACATTTCTTTGGTCTTGCCGAAAAATAAAAAAGTCATCGATACTTTTTAGATATGATGTTATTAAACCGCTATTTTTGTCTTTCGTATTAATATATTCCATTGTTAAAATATATTTTCAAAAATAAAATTTTTGGTAGATTCGAATTTTTATTGATTATACCATTGAATCAATTACATCAACGGAGAAACCGATCATCGTAACTTTCTGGCTACTACTCTTCACTCCTCGTATTCTTGTAATTTGAACAGTAGTTGTAGTCCTTCGCTTGTAGAATATCATTATATATGATCAGTTAATAAAGAAAAGGAATTTATTATTTGACAACCAAGTAACAAATTTATTATGATGAGTATAAATAATTTCACCAAGTATTTTCTTGGGATTTTGGAGTACATTTATTAATAACACGCGTTTTATATACCCTTTCCTGTCGATTTTTCACTTTATAAAGTATGAATGTATGGACGGCAGAAATCAATTTAAATACGTTATCGTTATGGTATTTTTCAAAGAAGATTCGTATTTACTGATTATAGGTTAATTGTGCAGACATCACCATATCCTTGCCGAACTGTTTGTACGTTACTTTATCACAGAGAGGAAATTTAAGTGTCTTTTCCTAGAATAATGATACAAAGGAAATGTATTATTCTTTATTCTATTTATTTGAATTGAGTTGAAATTACCTGAGTTTTATTACTATCAGCAGCATCATCGTCTTTATTATTGTCAATCAATTTCCCAATATCAAAAACCGATAACCCATCACCACCAACGAAGATTGGTGCAATGGTAACAACAAGTTGGTCCACCAGTCCACTTGATAAAAATGACTTGATGATTGTTGAGCCGCCTTCTACCATGATACGTGTCAATGAGAGCGGCGCAGAGCTAAGAGTTGTTAATAGGTGAGCTAGGGAAAGATGTCCTATGATTTTTTTTTCGTGTTTATTGTCGATTGAATATTAACATATGAGTTTATAATGCAAAAAAAAAAGAAATCAACCGACCATTTTTTGGATCTGTCTCAATGACGAATACTTTGGCACCTGCTTGCTCTAATGACTGTCAATCAATTAAATAAGTTAATAAAAAGAATAATTCTTCCTTGATCAGTTATTTTTTCCTTACCTCCCTTTTCAACGGGTCATGTTTATCACTAGTAAATATCCAAGGAGATTTAATACTATCATCTCCAACTTCTTTTTTTATTTGCTTTAATAATCGAGCTGAAAGTGGAAACCGCAAAGACGAATCTAAAATTATTGGTTGTGGTTGTACCACCGTTTTTTCTTCGTCTGGGTCGATTAATCTTGCTAATCATTGAAAATTTTAATACACTATGATTATTTGACCTCATTAATTCATGCATTCACACCTGTTAATCTAGGATCATCACTAAATATGGTGCCTATCCCTACCAAAATACCATCATGTAAGGTTCGCATCCTATATATAATAAAAAATGTGAAAATTCCTCTTCCTAAAATCTTCAATTTGACATATAACGATAATATATACCGATGTGTCATGATCATCGATTCATGTCCGCTTATCACCAATTTCTTGCCACCTCGACCTGCAATTTTAGCGTCCAAACTTTGCGCATATGTTAATGTCACAAATGCTCGTTTTCGACTATGATCACCATTATCATCATTATCATCCTTATCATCTTCATTTGAAAAAATCTTTGATAAAAAGATTCTGGCTTCTTGTGATGATGACATTATCAATAAAGTCAATAATATTATAACTCAATTTGGTTAGTTTTTAAGCCAAGCCAATGTTTCATGATTCTTCTCCCTGCAAATCCCCCGTGATTCATAAATCTGTGTGAACCCTCATTTGAGCGACGTCACATTGCCTGTACACTCCCGAGTCGAATATATATACTATTTTGTGCGAATATATATCGATATAGATTCGCATTTTCTCTGCTGCAACAATTCTAAAAAAAAAAATGGCGCCAAACACAGGAGATTCTACACTGGTTGATGAAAAGACATCTCAACTAGAAACCTCTGCCACATCAACAACAACAGACCAACAAGAAGAGATTTGGTCTTCTATTCTAAAAAGTACTGCCTCTTCAAAGTTTGTTCCGACTAAAAATGTCTTAATACTTGGTAAGTTTGCAGAATAGTATGATAACATTCAGAGAAACGACCAGGCTTCTACATCTAAATGATTACGAAACTCCATTCTCATTACTGCATGCATCTTTTTTTTGGGTCGTTGTAGGTGATAGAGGGTCAGGCAAATCTACTCTCATCAAACAGTTTAAAGGCGAAAATCATGAGGAAGAAATCTTACCTAATGGGGTCACCGCAAAGACTGCTAATAATAGTAATACAAAAAACAACAACGAAGAAGCTGCTACCAATGAAGTACGCCAAAAAAATGATTTAGCGTTAAGCTACACCTACATAGATATTAAGGATAAGGATGACGAAGCTGAAGGTTTGTCTCTTTACTAAAAAAATAAATCATCAGAGGATTGAGCGATAATGTATGTGTTTAACCTTACTATAGAATTAAATTTTTAACAACAAAAAAAATGTATGTCATAAAAAAGATACGATTGCCCGCCTCGGTCTATATCAACTCGCTGGAAGCCAGCTGGCCTATCATTCCCTCCTTCGATTTGTGCTCAATGCCACAACTTTACCGGATTCACTTGTGGTGATTGTGCTTGATTGGGCTCGTCCTTGGGCGTTTGCCGAGACATTACAGAGATGGATTAAGATTTTAGAGAGCGCAATCGAGAGTGTGAAATCTGAGGGTCCGATACCTGGCTCGAAAGATGGATGGACTCAAGGCAAAGTGGTTGTTGATGGACTAGTAGAGTCACGTAAGCATTTGAAATATTGTTTTTTTTTTTTTTCGTTTTTATTATAGAAAATACTAATGAAAAAATTTTTCTATCTACAAACAGTTGAACGTTTCATTCAGAATTACACAGAACCAGATTCAGTTAACACTAATACTAATGTTCCTGTTGGAGATCCTGATGTTGCGTTGCCTTTGGGCCAGGGAACGCTTACAAAGAATTTGGGAATTCCACTGATTGTTGTCTGTGCAAAGGTTGTATACGCGCAACGCTTGTGAACTGAAATTATTATTTTAATACTGTTATTAAAACATGATTATTGTTTCTGTAGTCTGACAATCTCTCTAATCATGAACGAGAATTAGAGTACACAGAAGAGATATTTGATTTCATTCAACAGAGTCTACGAACTATATGCCTAAAATGTGAGTTAAAAATTTTTTCATTTATAAAACATGTATCCCTCTGCGCATATTTATTTAGTTTTTTAACATCTAATGAGAACATATCTGTCATAAAATGAACCAAAACAATCAAAAAAGATGGAGCTGGACTTTTCTACACTAGCGTTAAACAATCACAAACTTTTAGTGATCTCCGCCAATACATTTTGCATCGACTTCTCGGGGAAAAATCATCTTCCAGTGACACTAAATCTAATTATGCCTTCACTAAAAAGGCGCACGTTGTCGAACGAAACACTGTCAGGGTTCCGACCGGATGGGACTCTTGGGGAAAAATTAAAGTGTTACGAGATGGGTTTGATTGCAATTCTTTGCTAGAGGGATGGGATAACGATATGTTGGGGGTGAAATCGGAGAGTATTGAAGGAAAAAACGAAGAGAAGAACGTTAGTTTCTTAAAAGAATATGATCAAGTTGTGTTCCATGAAGATTCTGATAAGGTATTTTTATTTATTTATTAATTTGTTTACCTGTGAATTTAAAGAATTAACCTTCATTCTTTTCATACTTCAAAAACAAAAAAAGCCTTCTGTCCAAACTATGATAGTTGCAGAGGATGAACAAGCATTTTTTGAACGTCATTTTGAAACTCTACAAAAAGGTGGTAGTGAGCGTTTTACTTCTCCATCAGTTGTTGGACCTATGGGTGCCGCCACTTATGCCTACACTAATATTGGTGGTATTGATTACGGGTTGGAGGAACGACTTGCAAAATATAGACATAATAAAGTAAGAATCATTAACTATTAATCGTGAGATTATTCTTGTCTTTAAGGGAGTATATTGAACTTATTATTGTCATCACTATTCTATTAGGACACAACCAAAGCCACAACTCAATCTACTCATGATATTACAACAAATGGATCGATTCCAGTAGTCACCAATGGCGCAGCACCACCGTCCCAAAATGAAGTTATTGCAAACTTCTTCCATGCACTACTTACCAAAAAAGCTTCTACGAATCCGCCATCGGGTGCTCCAGGTTCTAACCAAACCTCCCCTAACAATTCAACAATAAATCTTCCAATTATAACAGCTAAAAATCCCACTCCGACAACAAATGTACCATCACGAAAAATGGTTAAAGATGAACTAGACAAAATGAAATCTTCAAATTCGCAAACTGTTAGCGCTGTTGGAAAGTAGTGGAGAATATAAGAATCCATCGAATGTGTGTCGTCAGTTAAGGGTATTTAGTTATTATGTGGATAGTGGATGTAATATGAGCGAGTGTATGAAAGATTTTGATCTTTCACACACTCACTCGCCCATTCTCTCTTTAATTGCATAGACACTTAAAGTCGATGTGTTTATGCGTGGAACATTTTTTTCAAGTTGGTACATGTTTACCATTTTTTTTATTATTTGCTGCAAATATTTATACATACAATACATACATACATACATACAATACATACATACAAAAAATCTCTTGTGCTGGTGTTTGCAAATTCTTCTCTTCCTTTTGTGATATATACCTCCTTTTTCTTGTTCCTTTTTTACGCTTTACACAAATTTATATTGTATTGATATAAAGCCCGATTTTATATATATATATATATATATATTATATAATCTAGTAGTATTCTCCTTAAAAGATTAAGGGGATACAAAAATTTCTACTTTTTTATCGGGCAAATTATTCTGTATTTTTTTTTGTTTATTATTATTTTTTTTAGTATACGCAATCAATCTCTCTCAAAACATATTTATATAATATGTTTTTGAATAATAATGATCATAATCATAATAATAATGGTGATAGTGATAATAACAATAACAATAATAATTATTATTATAATAAAAAAATTAGGATGTTTTTTGGAATATTACTAAATAGGTTTATGAATATATACCTGCAAAGAGAGATCGAGAATAACAATAAAAAGTATGAAAAAATCATTTGACAATGATATTAACATATATATAGATATATATTTAATTAATCTCAATAATTTGAATGGTAAATTAATTTTTTATACAAAGAAACTACCCGTGAAATAATAAATGATATTAACATGATTTTTCATAGGAAAGTGTGATTAAAATATTTATATAACTGTGATGATGGAAATTAATAAATATAGTTATTATATAACTGACCTCGCATAAAGATATAAAAACAATTCGCCACACATCCCAATGAATATATTTGTAAAAATAAATAATCTATACAATAATTAGAGTCGGTCGGTGATTCCACAATTCTTATAAATTATATCAATAAATACGAGGGGGATAGTATTAGTAATAAAAAAAAAAAGGCGGAATCAGTCGCCGCCCGATGAACAAATAAATAAAAATAACTATAAAATACAGAAATTTTGACAAAGAGAAAAAGGTATTCACAAATGTGATGATAATGAAGAGGTGATGATGAAAATGGAAATGATTATTAACAAACAACATATAATCTTTCAAAACGGAGAGTTCAATTTGATAATACGATAATAGTAAAATCTAACAATTAAAACATACAATAAACCGATTAAATCAAGCGTATCGTCATCGTCGGTATTTTTTTCGGCTTCGTTAATCTGTAACCCAATTGCCACCTCTTTTAACGTATTTATCTGCCAATACTCCTAAATCCCGTACGACAAATCGACACAAAACATTTCCAAAAAAATCCGAAATTTTGTATAACCGAGATACAATATGTGTATGATGATGATGATACGGTGCTTTTAACGATGAAAAGTGACTTATATAGACCTCTGTGATGAATCGATGAAGACAAATTAATAAAATGTGATGATATATTTCGAAGAATAAAAAGAATTAACAACTATGACTTACCAACAATACGAGCTGTCAGAAACACTTTTAATAATATATCTACATAACTACTTGCCTCTTCACTTCGATTAGCAACATTTCCCATGCCCATGCGATCAAGTCGTTGTGATAATTTTGATCCCCAACTCATAAGAGATGTGCTTTGACGACTTTTACCATTTGTCGATTCAACATAATTCAATTTTCGAGCTAATGAATTTTGAATTCCATCAAATAAAGGTTCAATTGAATCCAATTCCTGTTCATCATTTTAATAATTTTAATAATGATTAATAATATATAGCATAATGTAATATAATAGACACAAACCTTTACTAGTGAATCCAAATCATCAATGGTCGTTTTTTCTAATCTCAGCAAACAATTATAGATTACATCACAGCTAGAAAGTTTAGCTTCCACCGATGCTAATTTGACATTTGCTTGCACCCACATGTTATTAGGTACGAATAACTTCTTTGTTAAGTAGCCACCAGTTGTCATTGTACGTTCTAATATTCGCATTAGCCAGAATGGTCTCATATGTACATCAGTCGGTGGTGGTTCAGGTAAACCTGTTTTATTCGGTTGACCCAGCACTTCATCAAATGACATTTGATTTGAATCAATTGAGTAACTGGTAGGTAAAGTAGCAGTAGTAGGAGTATCCATTGATTTTGCTAATGATGGAGAATCAGAACGATAAATTGTTGCTGGACTAAACATTGGACTATTCATGGAGTAGAGAGCGGGTGATTGTATACTGAATCCACCGATCCAGGGTGAATTTGGAGTTCCAGGCACTGGATTCCAGATTGCCGATGATGATGATGATGATGATGATGATGATAATGAAGCTGAGGGTTGTTGTAAAAGATGATGATTATTAGTGGTGTTATTTTGAAGAAATCGAAATGTACTATTCTTTCGAGGTTGACCAGGATTCGATGTAGCTCTTCGTGGTGGAACAGCGCCTATTAAACCTGATGATTGAGTAGCAGTGGCATTATGAGGATTGGTAGTGGTAGTTGTATTAGTGGTAGAAGATGAAGCTAAAAATGAAGGATTTGATGGCGTTGTATCACGAACAGGAACAGTTCGAGAATTATAATGGTCATTCTCTTCTACTAATGAAAGTGGAGATGGTCGTCGGCCGTTAAGAGATAACGATGATGATATTATTGTCTTGCCAACCATTTTTTCATTGGGTTTCTGATTTTTCGTAGGAACAGCAGCACCGTTAGAAGTGGTCGATGATGATGAAGATTTAATAGTGACTGAAGAATTTATTGATCCATCAGTAAGAGAAGATTTTCTTGATGACGAATCATTTGGTACATTGTCATCTAAAGTTTTTGACAATGATGAAGACGTGATTTCAAGTGATTTGGATCTTTTTGATGATTTTTCATCACTATTTTTTATCGATGTCATTTTATCGGGAGATTCAGATAGTGATTTAGATGATTTTTTCGATGAAGAGGATGAAGGTAATGATGAATTGTCTTTTGTTAAACTATTATTATGTAAAGGGTCAGTCATTGTTGATGTTGTTGCTGTAGATTGATCATTATCCATTGTTTTTGATTTACTTGACATTGATAATGATAGTGATGTCAATGAAGATGATAGTGAATTGTTACTGCTATTATTAATATTAGTTGTAATAATTGTAATAGTATCATCAGTGCTTAAAGCATCATCAGAACTAGTCAAAGACTCTGCGGATTCTGTCGACTCTCCAAGTGATTCTCTTCTTTCAATGGCTGATTCGTAATCTGATACCGGTGGCGTCGTCTTATCAGACATGAGAGATATCCGGGAGGAGTTCCATGACTTTGTTGTAGAAGTTGAGGAGTTTGATTTGTGCGTGGGTCTTTTGCGGTGATTTGGTGATAATGAATTATCAGCATTATTAATATTACTGTTAATACTGCTGTTATTATTATTTGTTGATGATTTTGTTGTTGTTATTCCTGAGTTTATTGAATCATTATCATTATCATAGTCATAGTCATTACGGTAGATAACACCATTTATCGCACTATTATTATTAGAGACAGTCGTCGACGATGAATCCTTCTTTGATTTATGACGACCGTTAATGTTTAGATTTCTCATATTACCAATATCACTGCCACTAATAATATTCTTTTCTTTCACTATTAGCTTTCCATTGGATTCCTCGTTCTTAATGTTATTATTATTACCAATGCTGTAGTCTCGAAAATGTGAAGATGATGCTGACGATGATAACGATGATGATTTTGACGACGTAATAAATAAATTATTCTGATTATTGATTGATTCTACTGAACTGTAACTATGTCGTTGATATGGTGCACGGTTCCGGAATCCACGATTGTCAAATTCATCATCGTTATTATGACCACCACCATTATTATCATCATCATTGTTGCTAATATTATTATTATTATTATCGTCCAACTCATTCTCGGGCGCTATCGTAGATAATAGTCGTATTCGGTCTGCATATGTATCATACTATGAAAATAAATAATCCTGATTAGCATTGTTTCTTTCAATCTTTCAATAAGCCTTTCTCTTTCTATTTTTTGTTCTCTTCTTTCCTTTCTTTTTTTTTTCGCGCACTCAATTTACCATCAACTCGGTCAATTTATCGATATAGAATTAGTTTCGCAACTTTGTTAGATGACGCATATATTCACGAATACATGCATTCTTATTTGCCCGACAATTATAATAAAAAAACATGCACAAATAAAGGATTCAACTTACTATATGTTGTAGCCTTCGACGATCAGTTTCATTCGCTGCCTTATCAATCACTTGTAATAAGAGCTTGACAGTCTGTTTATATGCCGCCAAAGCCGCACTCACATTATTAGCCGAGTCAAGTACTACAGCTGACTGGGCTTTCTGTAATGCGATGGTTAAAATAGATTTTGAGTGTGCTCGAGGTGATGGTGGTGGGTGCTGTTGCCTGCTCGGTGAAAGTGGCGGCGACGACACATCACCAATACCGTTACCGTTGGAAATCGGAAGGCCCAAGTTTGAGGCTGGAGGAGGAGCGAGATGATGGTTTGATGTTGAAGTCGCCATGTATACTAAATGTATTTTAGTCTTCTTTGAGATTCTGTTTGAAGAGTCACGTGTAATTTAATTTCCCTTCTGAATGTTGAAAACGACGGAAAAAATTGGGAGGCTGGCTTTTTAAAAGTGAAATTTTTGTTTCGAGCGTCGATGTATATATAGACAGGTGAGTACCGTGAAATTTACAAAATGGGCACAAACTATGCTGTTTTAGCTGTTACTCGTACGAGTCTTCGAAAGTAGTGAAAGTAATGAAAGTAGTCGAAAAAATTACTTTTGAGTTGAAAATGAAAAAGAGGAATGAACACAAATTTCGGGAGAAAAAATAGTTAGTCGCGGTGAGAAAAAGATCTTTATTGGTAAAACATGACTATCTTTTGAGGAAACTTGCAATGCAAGTGCAAGTTATTGGCTATTATTATGTTGATATTGTTGAAGCTTCTCTGCAAGTCACAAAAATTTACCTTGTAAAAGGTATGTAAGATAAATTAACTAGATTTTTATCTAATATAAATAGAGAATAAATGCCAATATCTTGTTTGAGGAAACACATAACCAAACAAGGGAATTTCCGACCATGCAAATAATGAACACATTCACATTCATTGCCGGGTTATTTGAGGATCTTTTGTGGGTAAATTCATTATATCACGTGAATTACAATTTTTAATAAGTGTGAAATTCGAACAACCTCCATTTTTATTTTTTTGGCAGCTAAAAGTACTAGGAATAATAATAATAATGTCGGTATTACTTACAGAAAGCAGCGAACAAGAAGCTGCCCGTCTTTACCGTGTTTATAAAACTGTAAAGAGAATGGTAGCCGACAGGGTACTTATTTATTCTTTCTGATCGAGACATTTGATTTTTTTTGCATAATGTTAATGTTTGATTTGTCGTTTAGGGTTATGTGGTAGCTGAACATGAGATTCCTACAGATTTGGATGCATTTAAAGAAAAGTGTACCGACAATGGTGTTGTTAAGTAAGCGCCTTAAGAATTTTCCTTCTTTCTTTCAGAGAATCTATACGTTTTTTCTGCATTACTCAATGCCCTGTTCTAAATTAATAAAAGTGACCTGAAGTGAAAAAAGCTTTTCATTTTTATTTAACCAATTATCATAGCCGAGAAAAAATGATGTTTCAAGTTCAAAAGAGAGATGATCCTACCGAACAACTACTTGTTACTTTTCCTACAGAGAAACCTGTTGGAGTGAAGTATTTGAAAATGTAAAACTAATGGATTTTATTGTTTATTATCACTATCATTTTGAGTAAAATGAATACCAATATATATTCTGTTACGTAGGATGTGTGCTCGGATGGCCGAAACAAAAGTCACCAGGGGAATAATTGTATATCAGGGTAATATGACAGCTGCGGCGAATAAGGTATCATGCAACATTATTAGTAATTGTTATTATTTAACTTATATATAATTTTACTCATCTTGGTTGTTTATTTATTTAAGGCAATTCAATCTTTGAATCAAGGAGACAGAATCCCGGATAAACCGTTCTATGAGATTGATTCGTTTTCAGAATCAGAACTCTTGGTGAATATAACCGAGCATCAACTCGTCCCGACTCACGTTGTGTTAACCGATGAAGAGAAGAAAACTCTCTTGAAAAAATAGTAAATAATAATATCTTGATATGTGATTTTGATGTTACTTCGTAATAATGACAATATTATTGTTAAAGTCGTTTAAGAGAAACGCAGTTACCTCGAATCCAAACAATTGATCCTATTGCCCGTTATTATGGACTTAAGAAAGGACAGGTAAAATTATCGAGTTGAGAATTATTTCATTATATATCAGTGTAATTGATCATTGCGTGTGAATACCAGGTTGTTAAAATTATGAGGCCAAGTGAGACGAGTGGTCGTTACGTCACTTATCGATTATGTTTCTGATGAGAAAAAAGGAAGAAACCAGAAAGTGGAGGCGATACTTTCATGTATGAAAATAATTTCTATTTAATTTCATTGATTTATTTATTGTGTTTTTTTCGTTAAAAAGTTCAGTCAAATCTTCTTGACTAATCAGCCAACTTACTAGCCAGTCATTATTTTGTTTCATAATATATATCAATATCAATTTATATATATATATAAAAAAGGAATTCATTGTTTGCACTCTTTTTTTTTTGATAATCCGATGATACGCTGTGAAACAAACATGATGCAAAACGCGCGATATTAATCATCATCAGTTTATTTTCATACACGCGTTCTATTGACATTTTGGTTCGAGAAAAATAAATAAATCAATTAGGTTGAAGTAGATTCTATCATTTGGATATTCTTTTTTTAAAAACAAAAAATTACCATTCTCGCATTTCTGTCTATCTGGAGTTCTAGCCGATATCAAACTAATGCAATTTCACAACAATAATAGTCGTGGGCAAGAATTCGTGAGCGGTGTCTCGCCAGATACCAAGCTCCTATCTTGGGAAACTTTATGGAATTCTTTAACATGCATAACCTTCATTACTTCGATTGCATTATTACTACTATTGTTCTTTTTAATACACAACCATGTCACGACTGTAAAGAATCCCAATAAATTCAAACTGGTCGAAGAAAATGCGTGAGTCAATCAATATAATATTCTGCTGAATTAATGTCATCTACCCATATCACATCACATCTTAACTGTGGAAAAAGAAAAAAACCCTCAACGTTCAAAAGTAACAGAAAAATAAACACGCTCTGCGTGGATTTTTTTCCCTATAAACAAATCACGCCCTGTTGAAAAAATCGTCACAGATCATCAGTATTACTGGAACAACAACAGCAAACACAGCCTTCAATATCACCAACACGACACCGCAAAATCTATTTTCCGTCGAGAATTTTCACAACTCCGTTCGGAGATCAACGACGTTTTTATCAGATGTCAATCGAACAAAAATATAGAAGACAATCAGGTTTTCATATTACATTATAAAAATCCAAAACGTAATTTATCCCATCTAATTCTTCATCCTTATAGAATTACCACCGTATGAGCGAAGTCGACCGCCATTAAGTTCGCCATTATCTCCAAGTCGATATAAAGATGATAAGCAAGTTATTCCTGTACTTTCAAATCGATTTCTAGTCAAACCGAAAAATCATATTTCAATGGAAGGATCGGTATCTATAGCTCTTTGATTATATGTGTATGACAAATATTGTGAGTTATTGATTTATTTATTTATTTGTATAGTCAAAAAAAAGATTCCTTTACGCCGCTCGAAACCGCGAGGAGAGATCTTATGAAGAGGCTGTCGAAAAAATGATTAATCAATTATCCAATCTTTCAATAGCTGATTCGTCAATACAGCAGGAAAATTCAAACTCGCAAGAAATTGTCGCGTCAGCTTCACACATCTGGCCTGAATCATCGTATTTAGTTTCATCGTCAGATTATCACTGCCTCCTTAAAAGAATGTAAGGCAACAACAATGCCCAGTATTTAAATGGATGATGCTTTGCTAAACTTGCGACTCAAATGATTGATCTTTAAATATTTGTAAAATAATGAAAAAATCTATTTTTGAATCACCTGAAGGGATTGATCATACATACTTTAAAAATTTACGCGTATTGAGATCAAAGAAAAATTACTTTCCCGCACAAAGAAGAAATTAAAGTAACCAAGCTTAATGCATTACGCCATTTGCTAGCATCAATGTTGAAAGAATTGCAAAAAAAATTTGTGTACATCATAAGAAATTATTCATCATGTTACTCAGTGTTTTCGCCACCCATTTAATTTTTCTTTGCTCTCACTTTAACTTTCTCACATTGAAACTTTTTACTACTCTTATTACTTTCTACCTGATCATAATTATACATAGTTTAGCACAATTATAAAACATTGTGAAATACAAAAAATACTCACCTTTGAAAAATACAGCTCATAGGCCAGACTGTTTATTTGAAATTTATACCATTTTGTAAGCGATTTAAATCTTAAATCCACTTTTTTACAACAATAATGAAAATTTTTATTTTTTAAATAATATGAATTTTTTATTATATAATAAAAATGTCATTTTAAAATAAATACAAAATTGTAATACTATATAGCATCTATCAAAAAAATAATAGTAAAGCTTATGCCTGGAAAATACAAATAACAATATTTAAATTACTTTTATTACAATCAATTCAAAAAGGTGAAAATAAAGACTAATAGTAATTAGTTTGGTAGCAAGTAATTTATATAATATTTATTTTTTTTGGTTCAATTTTTATATAACGATGGTAAAGAGAACTTATTAATTTCTCCGAAATAATAAATCAAAATCACCTTATAATAAAAGTGAGTAAAGAATAATAAAAGTTCAATTGCGACGATGTCTTTTGCCTGCTAAATCAGTCACGTTATGCCGTCCATCGCAACATTCACGGACATTCTCAAAATCTTCTTTGTCCAAATCACCAGTCCCTTCCAATGATATATCTTCGTGGGTGTGTTCGTGGGTGTGTTGATGGTTGTGTTGATTATGTTCGTTGGAAAGAGGAGAATGTTGATTAGATGAAGATGATCCATCACGGCGAATCAGAGCCGTGATTTTACTGAAGCTTGATTTGGGCTTTAGACTTTGTTGCGTGCCAGTGCGGCTGTTTGGAGGACTGCGACTGTTTGGTTGATTTTCCCAAGGATCAGAACCCTTTCTACTAAGTGAAGGGTCTGCAGTATTTCCCTGTGGTTGCTCTGTGTCAGAAGCTCTTTCAATAAGATAAGTAAGAGCCTATTTATTATTATAAAAATCCATTTAATAATAGTGTCAGATTTAAAAATAAATATTAAATATTAAATAAATAATAGCCTAATGTCTACTAACTAACCTTGAACCATATTTCATGTCGCTCTTTCGTAGGTGCAGTAAATTTGATTTCACGACCAGGTGTCTTTACCACTAAGCTCATGTGATGAAGTCCAGGTGGCGAAGGATTATTATCTACTACTTGTGCAACAGATTCTATGTATGCAACCTGCATCGAAAGCATAGCTATAATAAAAGATGGATTATTGATTTATGAGAAAAATTAAGTATATAGAATAACAGAAATTCTGATTATACATACAATTCTTTGAAGACTTTGCATCAATCATATCAGCACCTCCAGGATCTTTAGTGCTCCAATATAAAGTTCGCGTATATGGATGCACCCAGAAAAATCGTTGATGCCGTTTTTCAGAAGTTCCACCACCAAAGTTTCGTCTTGTGTATTTGTGCAGAAATTCGCCCATCATTGTTAAAGTTATTGCCTGCACAGTACTTGGATCTAAGCGAGGACCTCCAAATGACGTCTGTCCATCGTCAACTTGTGATGTATTAGAATTTCGTTTTGCTGGTTGCTCATTTGACGAAGCAGTCGAGCTGACAGTGCTTCCTGTAGAAACTGAAACTGAGCTAGGAGTATGCCGATGATGAGCATTGGGGGCTGGATCTTTACCTTTCGAATTTGGCACTATTGGATGATCAGTATCATCGCGTGCATTGACAACAGGAACTCGTTGTCTATCTAATAAATTTTGGGGTGGACCATTCGATGGACGTGGAGGCGGCTCCAAAGTTCGAACAGGTTCTTTTGGAATATTTGGAATTGTTTGAGATTCATCAGTAGACGGAAGAGTTTCCGAATCTTCGGTACCATTTCTTTCTTTTGACTTATTTGCGTTGGCTGTTAAGTCAAGAGTAAAGCGGTTGCCAGCTATATTATTGTTACTTTCGCCGATATCTTTAATTATTTAGAAAAAATTAGCCTTTCACAGTGAGAAATAATTATCAATGAGATGTAATATAAATCTTACCGGAAGATAATGTGCTACTTCGATGAGCATTATCAGGTTCAGCTGGAATAACTCCACCATTTGCAGCGATCCCTTTCAATTCTTCAAGTGATTTTAAAGCAGTTATTGCCTCTGTTTGGATTTCAGCATCCGTGTAATTTAATTTTTCAGTTTGAATTTCAACATTCCGAGAGGTAACAAATGTTTCTCGTTTGCTCTTTCTGTAAGCAGTAGCATCCTTCTTTTCACCATCGGAAGAAGGTCTCTCGTGAATTACAATAGATGCCTTGTTAGTCTCTGGAACGATATTTTGATCATCTATATCGTTATTATTATCATTTAAATTATTATTATTGTCATCTTTGGGTGAAGCAACAGAATTTCTTTTTTCGGACAAAGTTGAATCTCGGACACCAGCTTTTGAGATAGTAGATTGTCGTTGTGATGTCGACCTGGCGGAGGCATAGTCTTCTACCGAAGAACTATCATCTTCTTCTTCCTCTTCTTCATCGTCTCCTCCTTTTGCACTTGAACCTGATCCAGTCTGTGGTTTATTTGTAAAATGTTCGAATTGTGATATTCTTTCTTGAACTACTGATCCTCGACTCTTGCGATTCTTTGATGATGTCATGTCATTATTTTCCTCGGATCCTGGTATGCTTTCTGGTTCCTCGTATGTCGATGGTTCAATATTTTGAGATGCATGCCGCGATGAAGAGCTGGATATCGATTGTTTATTTTGTTTGGTAAGGTTTTCAAGGGCTGCTGCTCTGGCCGCTTTAACACTCTCTGGATCTTGATGTTCAGGAACTTGACGAACTCTTGCTTCCTCTAAGCTGACATTAACTATTGGTTCAGTTATCATTTCATCGAGTTCTTCAAAATCACCTTCATCATCTTCCATTTCTTCTTCATCAACCTCATTAGTATAAGAAACATGTTTATTACGAGATAGGCGACTTGAATTTTTTCTACTTCGGTTTAACAAAGGATGACTTTTAAACATATCAGAAGTTGGACGAGTTGCCTTATTAATATGTGTATCACCATCTTCATCTGATTCATGTTCATAAACCGAATATTCGTCCTCATCTTGACCATTTTTAAGCACCGCATCTTCACTTATATCCACGAGAGCTTCTTGCGAGAAACTAGAGCTGGTATTTTTCTGGGGCTTCTGTTTTGATTTAACTGCATTATTCGGAAAAGCACTCTCATCACGTAATCTTAGAATTTCTTCCTCTCGATCACCAAGTAGATTTTTCAGCTCTTCATTTTCACTTTGTAAACTGCCATTTTTTACTTGGAGCACTTTATATTCGTCAGACATTTGTTTTACTGCATCAGCTGCTTGTGGAATTATTTGATTAAGAGTTGGGATAAACTTGTCGATAATAGAAGCCAATGTCTCTCCACTCGGGAATTCTTCTCGTTCATCACTACTAGAAATTGCTGCGTTTTCTGACGGTGGAATAAAATTAATGGCAGCAGATGGCAAATTTTTGGATGTTGATGGTGTTTCATCTTTTCGTTTTAGTTTTGCTTTAAGATTCACAACATCTTGTTTTGCATCGTCGAGTGCTTGTGAGACTACTTGATTTTCTGTTTTTAAATCATTGTATGCTTTTTTATGAGCTCGTACTTGACGCTCATATTTTTTCTTTGAATCAGCAAGTTCAGTACTGAGTTTGACCTCCCGAGCTTTAACCTGTTCGAGCAAATCAGTGGACTGGCCAAGTTTTTTCTCTTGAAGCTGTATTTCTTTACGAAGTCGTGACACTTCAAATGTTTGAGTTTCCTTCTCGGTATCGAGATTTTGTATTTTTAATTCGAGTTCCCATACTTGAGTCTTTAAGGAATCTAATGTTTACGAAAAAAGGCGTGAAAATTCATAAAACATTCATAATAAATGACTTTTAGATCAAAGACACAAGCATACCTTCAGCGTCTTCTTTGGCACGTAATTGTTTATTAAGCATTTCAATAGTACGTTCCAATTCAGCTTTTTCATATTCTAATACTTTAATTTTTTCTTCTCTTAATGATACAAGTGCCTGTAATCGCTTTACTTCTTTTAACAAATTCTGTCCAATCTCTGCTGCAAACTCTATATCATTTGTTCTATTATTATTTCTATTTCTACGATCTCTGGAGCGTGAAGCTGGTGCAGTGTCTGGAGTTAGCGCCTGATCCAATACAGATGATGTTGTCGGACTCGAAGAAAGTGAAGCTATACCAGATGAGATACCATTGTTATTGGCCCCCTGTTGTACATGATTGCAATAAATAAATTGTTTTCTCAAATTTATCCGAAATTTAAAAAAAAAGACATAAAAACTCACCATAGATGCCGATGCAGCATTCCTAAAAACATTACGCGTGTCCGCATCAAGAGACATTGCTTCTTTTTCAAGTTGTGCGAGTTTATTCTGCAGTTCTGGTGAGATGTCACCCTGTGCTTCATCAAGTTCGCGTATTCGTTGTTCGATCAATTCCTTTTGTTGAACCAAGGCATGACCATACTCGGCAGTTGCCTGAATTTGATTTGTTCTATCAGATAATTGTTCTTGTAATTTTTGTTTTAACTCTGCCGGTGACTGATTGTTAGCGAGATATAAAGAGCGCCGATTAGACGGCGAAATTGTACCATCATTAGAGACTCTAATTCGTGGCGTTACATGAGGAATGTCTATGTTATTGCTACTGATATTTGCCATTATTTACTACTATATATATGTGTGATTAATTATGTGTCGGTTTATAATAAATGATAAAAAAATATAAATAAAATATGTACTACTATATATAATATACTTTATAATTGTCTATGAAATTTATAAGAAGAAATCAGAGAGATGATGGTGGGTAACTAGTGTATAAAAGTATTCTAATTATTGTAAGTATTAATAAATAAATTAAGGCGAGAGAGAGAATGTGAATATTAGATGTCTGGTAGGGTGGTCGGTTGGAAAGTCTGTCGGTCGTCGATTAAAATATTAAAGAATGTGAGTTGACCAAGTGTTGACCAGTCAATAGTTGAGCCTGTGCTAAGCAGCAAGGATAGAAGAATAGGGTATAGAAGAAGGGTGTTCAAGAGTTGGTCATCAACATTGTCAACAGAAGAGAAAGGGTTTCTACGACGCTTGTTATCTTCGTTTGTTTTACTAGTGGTAATAGTGGTAATAGTCTTGATAATAATAATAATAGTATTCTAATAAACAATAGTGAGTACTCAAATGACAGACAGCAAAGCGAAGGCAGGTCGGTAAATCTGCTGGTTGCAATAATAATAAAAAGATTAAACTGGAAGACAAATTAGATATATTCTATAAACTTTCACAAAATTTAAAAAAATCAAGTTGTGGCTAATGTTGTCTTGTACAATGCGCGTGTCACCATTCCAAAAATTGAATCATGATTTGCATTGCATCTGGTTGGCGATCGGAAAATAATAGTTTTGTTGACTCGATCGACCATTCAACATCCGAAATATGTATTGTATTGTATTGTATTGTATTGGAATGCCTTACATTTTGATTTTTATTAAAAGATGGTCTATATTCATATATAAAACATAATAATGCTGTTCACTTATATATCAGCCGGGAAATTATTAAAATTCAAATATCACTACACAAATGTTACAAAACGAAAATACACACGCCACCCAAATAAAGCATAATTAATCGGGGATAATTAACAATAAATATATGAACACCAAAATTGTAAATTGTCGTGTGTGTATGTATATGTGTATAAAACAACTCAAGCAAATAAAAATATTATATTATCTTAAACTTTTCAAAGGAAAAGTCACCGGAAAATCTAATTATTTTAACAGCATTTACCGGATTGATTTTTAGAATCATCAGGCAAAGTAGTAACCTGAATCGTTTCACCAGCAGTTGGCCTGGTGACGTCACCACTATTGTTTTCGAGTGCTTTGTTGGAAACAATACGGTAAATTTCTGTAGAGGGATAGAAAAATAAAATATATTAAAAAATGGTTGAAGGCCGAAAAATAGAAGATGTTAAATTAAATATTAACAATTACCCGTCAGAATATTTTGGAAAGCAAGTTCTACATTACTAGCATCCAATGCAGATGTTTCAATGAAAGAGAGATTGTTTTCAGCTATTCAAATAATAATATTATCGACATCAATTTTTTAGTCTAAATACACAATTTAATAATAGCACAAGGTCTAACGATAATGATAATTACCAGCAAACTGTTTAGCTTCCTCGGTCGGTACTGCCCTCAAATGTCTTAAATCACTTTTGTTTCCAACAAGCATAATGACAATATTGCTGTCAGCATGATCTCTTAATTCTTTCAACCAACGGTTGACATTTTCGTATGTGATATGTTTTGCAATATCATAGACAAGTAAAGCACCAACGGCTCCACGATAATATCTAAAAAAAAAACAAGATAATCGAGATCAATACAAACTTACTTAGCACGTAATCATTTACGATGGATAAGCAAATCTATGATAAATGATAACTCACGCGCTTGTGATAGCTCTATAACGTTCCTGACCAGCTAATAACCAGGAATAAATTCATAAGATAATTGATGATAATGATGACAACAATTACAATGATCAAGGTAATAAAATTTACCAGTATCCCAAATTTGTGCTTTGATAGTTTTATTATCTACTTGAATACTTCTGGTCGCAAACTCGACACCGATAGTTGACTTAGACTCCAGATTGAATTCATTACGTGTGAATCGCGAAAGCAAATTTGATTTGCCAACACCCGAATCACCAATCAAAACAACTATTTGAGAAAATAAATTAAAAGAAATTCTAAGTGCATGCACGAATAACGATTGAATGCAGAAAAATATATTGTAATCGTGATATTGATATTTAATGCATGCTTTCAAACAAAGGTTCAAAAATTATAAAATCGTCAGATGATAGCGCTTAAACGGTCGACTGAGTGTGTTCTCCCAAACTTTCTCATCCCTTAAACCATTCTCAAATACCTTTAAAAAGATAATCATATTCGTCGTCTTTACTCATTTTTTAAAAAGTACTTTTATGTTTATTATATTTTTGATTTTTTTAATTGTTGCAAGAACGAAATGCCTGCGAGTTATCGGGCAAAAGAATAAAAATAGGAGGCTGTGTTTGCCACTTTGTCAGTCAGAGAAGTTACGCCAACTGTCAATTGTAATAATCATGTGATTAAAAGTATTGTTTAATTAGCACGGGTGAAAATATAGCGATAGCACTAGCCAATTCATGCACAATTTATGCATATAATTTTTGGAATAAGATTTTATTGTTTGTATTATTCACTGCATGCTTATTTATTGGGAATTTCTTATCAACATGTCATATAGGAAAAAAAGATAAAATAAAAAAAAGAAAAAAAAAGTTTTCATAAATCTTGATGCTCTCACATACTTTATGATTGAAAAATCGTGTGTATCAAAACTTTTTAAAAGGGGTAAGATATTATACAGTATGAAGAATCGTTATCGCCATCACTCGTCATCATAATCATCCTTTAATTTAGATGGCCAAGTAAAATCTGGCCACTTGGAAATTCCACTGTTGAAATTTGCCAATAAGGGCGACGAGAAAACGTTTAGGTTTGGGGGGAGTAGATCTAGTGATATTTTCCAATTCACAACACTAATTACACTTCTATACATATATACATTAATATATATATAGATATATATTTCGAAGTTGGATTAGATAGGAAGTAGGGGAAAACGTATGGAGCATATAGGAAGAATAATATCAAATTTCGTAAAGTTTGTTTTTAAATTATTCCATAAGGTGCACCAAATATCGAAATAGATTATATTACACCATCGTCGTCTTTATGATGTTTAGGTGAGTTGGTGTGTTCAACGATCAAAGTCGAGGCCTTTCGCTTCTTTTCATTGGCCAAACCGGTATGAGTATCGCGCTCAAGCAGTAAATTTTTCAAAAGAGTTTTCTAATTTAACATATAATAAAAAAAATTAATTGATTAATTTATTAAAGGAAGGAAGGAAGGAAATAAAAAAATACCTCTATTTCCAGTTCTTTCACTCTTCTCTCTAGAAATTCTCTACGAGCTTGTGCTTTACGCTCTATAGCAACCTCCTTTTCTAGTTCACTGACACGTGTTTCTAAGTAAGCATTTCTCTCTATTAATTTCATTTCACGTTCAAAAGCTGGACCTGATCGAAGTATTCCATCATCGTTTTCCATTTGAATCGTTGAAAATTCGTTAATCCTTCGGGATGAAGATGATTCTTGAGCGGTAGAAGAGGAATGATTACTATATTCAATAGAGTTCATTGGAGTATATCGCATTTGTTGATAATGAGTGGATGAAGGCTGGGATGTTGAAGGAGCAGCGGTCGACGTTGTGGTTGTGCTGTTCGATGATGTTGAATTAGCAGGATCTACTACATACTGTGATGTCTGTGCAGCAGGCGAAACATTATTTGGAATAATAAGATTATGGAGAACTGGTTTTAACATCAACATATTATTATTGTTGTTGTTGTTGTTATTGCTGCTGCTGCTATTACTATTATTGTTATTATTTCCTCCTATTCCTGAATTTTGCTGTGATTTACCAGGAATTGAAAAACTCTGTTGTGGATTTTGGTAATTCTGTGATGTTGGAGATAATCGGGAAGAGGAGGATATTGATGTAGCCGTTAATGTTGATTCGTTGTCTATTTTCATTTGTTTTTGATGTTGCTGTTGCTGCCATTGTTGATTGGGAAAATGTTGCTCCCTTTGTGTGAATAATTTCGATTCATTATTAGATAAAGGTGTGGCAGGTGCACTAGGAAGTTGTTTATGATGTTGCAATTCAGTTTTCATGATAACGCCGCCACCGCCTCCATTAGATTGTGGCAAAAGTTGCTGTTGAGACGATTTCGGGGACTGAGAATGCATTTGAGGTGGCGTCAATGTGGTTGATTTCGGTTGTTGTGATTGAATTACCACGTGAGGTTGTGGTGTTGTGGCGATTGAGGTAGTGGTATTATTAGTATTGGTATTTCCAGCAAGAATTGATTGTTGTTGCTGAGAAGTTTGCAATGACTGCAGTTCAATTTTCGAATTCTGATCTACACCACCACCAGTTGAATTCTGATATAATTTTTTCTGAGGGCCACCACAAAAACTTTCAGCACGAAGATGTCTATTCAATGCATCCAATCTTGCAAATTTTCTTTTACAATGTTGGCAACCATATGGTTTTTCACCTGTATGTAATTTAAGATGACGCTTTAAGTCATGATGTCGTCTGAAAAAATGGTTACATGTGGGACATTGAAATGGTTTTTCTTGTGAATGGGTTAAAGCGTGCGACTTTAAATTGTGTTGTCGACTAAATGTTTGATTGCATTCCGGACATACGTAAGGTTTATTTTTATTTGACGGTGTTGGACTTATAGCTTCTCCCGGACCTGATGTAGCAGTAGCAGCACTAGAACCAGCACTAGTAACATTGGTAGCGCTGGTAACACTAGTAGCAGCAATCGAAGCAGTAACAATTGGATTCGTTGTTGTCGTTGACGAAGATCTCCCTTGAGGATTTACCGGAAATTGATTATATGATCCTATCGGAGTACCAGACGATGAAAGATTTGGCGAAGAATCGTGATTGTTAATTTGAATTTGAGAAGTACCAAGAAGTCCATTATGATTATTAATAATATTATTATTGCTGTTGCTATTACTATTACTGTTATTACTGCTATTATTATTATTATTATTATTATTATTATGATGATGATGAGGATGATGATGATGATGATTATTATTATTATTATTATTATTATTATTATTATTATTATTATTATTCCTAATGGCTGAAGGAGTAGTCAATAACATTTCGTTTGAAGCGCTCAAGTTGTTATTATTGCTATTGTTATTATTCTCTTGAGAGGCAGCAACAGAATTTGCAGTCAAAATATTTGCGCTATTTGGTGAACTCTCAATCGTAGTTTGTCGGTCAAAGGCCGTTGTAGAAGGTATACCAACACCACTCTGACGCGTTGAATCAACACCTAGTAATTCGGAGGAATTGTTGATATTTACTGAAATTAGAAAATAAACAGTGAATTAAAAATATTTATTTATCACAAAAAAAGTAACACCCGTAATAATGGTGGATTATTTATACTTTGAGAGTTAGCTGAATTGGGGACTTCAGCTTCATTTTTAGGTGTTGTCGGTTTGTTGTTGTTAGTGTTATTTTTGTTATTGATACTGTTATTGTTAGTTCTTACTTCCATAGCACTAAAAGAAATGAGAAAACCAGAAAAAACACAAGTGTTATTGTTGTTAGGTGTGGCTGGAACTGCAAAATTATAAGTGTGGTGTGTTGAGAAGTTTGACCAAGAAGAATTTTTAAAAAACGGATAATTGTATTGTACCAACGTGAAACAAAAACGGCTTTTTGTGTGAATTTGTGGCGTCGTTCTTTATTTGTGAGAGAAAAAAGAAAGGAAATTTAACTTTATATAGCAAGTATTACGGAGGTATTGACCACTTGGAACACAGTCGTACCCCGGGACCACTTTAAAAAGAGGTTGTATGGAGGTATGCAATATTTTGTACATATAACATATTTTTTTTGCCACATTTATTGAAATGAACTTACGCTCCTTTTCGAGTCAAATAATAAAAGCCTCAAACAAAACAAAAAGCAAAACTAAAACTGGATGCACAGCCATACAACAGAGTTGTGGCAATGTATCTTGCATGATACCAATCAAATTTGTGTAACGGTAATGGCCGGAACGATGATGCACTTAGGCAATCGATCATTCGCTAAATTTATCAAGTGACGAAACTATTGCCTGTTACACTTAATACACACAAAAACGCACAACGACATGAAAATTTCTCATCAGAAAAATTAACTGCCACATTATTCAGTGACACCAGCCTTAACCCTTATAAATATAATATCGATATATACACGCTATTGGACGACCGTAGCTTCGCGGGGAATTCCACATAAGTCTGACTGACATTAATATTAGTTTGTTAAAAAGTTCCGGTCTATCCCCCACATACTTTTTATAAATATTTCGTCTCGATTCCACAATGTTGAACAAACATTTCAGCACACCTTAAGAGCATATGCTGGTTGTAATGTCCCAAACAATCTCACACACGATACTGGACCGAAATTAACTAACAAGCTTGGTGATACATCTACGCCTCAACTTATGGAAGAGACCCAGAGGTGTGACCACGAGATGACGAAAAACGTGCAACGCCATAATCAATAATAATTGTGTGATCTTTTTTTATCAACACAAAAATATGGCCTTCTGTAAGTATCAAAATTTGAGCCGGCGAAAGCATGTTGAACCAAAGAATCCACAGAATGCTTGGTAAGGTAGCAATACGTACTGTATGTGTGGAATGAATAATATTCAGGCAGAAATTCGAGAAGTTCGTACGTTTTCAGTGAGTTGCATCCTAATATTAAGAGAATAAATATGAGAAGTAAAAAATTAAACATAATTTTGCAAAATTATCACTTACCCATTTCAGCCATCGATTCTTTTTCTTCTGGTTCCGAGTGAATCCTGCTATTACTCTTTATTTGAATACATTGTAACCCTCATTATTGTTCACTGCAACAAAAAAGGTCACGTTGTCCCAAAAACTTGCTTTTCTGCCAAATTGACTGTACTCCGATCATTATCTCCAACTACAAATAATTGTTTTATGCAATGAGATGCTTACACCAATGCCATCTATCATAATCGCCATACTTGTTTGTTTTAAACATGTGTTCAATTTGCTAGGGTAGATTTTGCCAGTTTTGATAGGCGTGGCACAAGATCAAATTTTAACCTATATTTTTTTGATCATAGCGATAGCGATAGTTTTGCGCAGATTAAGAATAATAATTACTTACGCTAGGTCTTGCTGGTATACAAGAATTTATCATGAACATGGTTGACTGCAGCATTTTATGTAATGATAGCGATAGGTTCTTCAACTTAACTGTTAGTTCGAGAAACTGCCCGCTCAATTGCAAAGCTAGTTTGGTTGAAGCGTTCAAGAGCATCAAAGAGGGAAGCCTTAATTGTAGTATCAACCAAAAAGTAGAAAGTGTACATTTGATCGTCTGCTTTTCGAGCTTGTGCTCCGGCTTCGTTAATACGCCTTCTTTTAAGAGCTCGTATCATTGGTGTCCCTCTCTACCGCAGGTAGTGCAAGGCATTTTATTATGTTTAATATTAGACTGCGAAATAGATTCATGATCCTCGTGTGTTTCTTGCTTTGGAGACAAGTTGTATCGAATAATAAGTGGAAAGAAGTCGAATACTTGATAAAACTGATCAAAAGTCAATAAACTTGTTCTAGCGCAACCGTGCGGTATTTTGTTCTTCATTATATCGTGAATGTATTGTTAGCTTACTAACGCTTCATTATTATTATTATTTTTTTTATTGCTAATTATTATTATTTTGAGACTGCTGTAATTCCAATGGGATGACAATTTTAGCGCCAACGATAATAGACATCATCAAAATTAGGAATTAGATCCACTTCGCTTTTTTTTTTTGCTTGACTGTTTCTCAGTTAAATCCTTTTTTCGAATAAACCACCATAATCTCAATATTGTTTTTCCCTAATCCTGTTGGTGGCACTGGCAAAGACGAATTCTATAATAGTGGGTCAGAATCGAGATTTTTTGGATCGAGTTCTTCAATTTATTGGGTGATAATACAATTTCTGGAAAGAAAACTTCGTTGGATTATAAAAAGGGTTACAGTATCCTTTTTATTTTTGTTTGATTTGTCGTTATTAACGAAAAAAAGGCTTGACTCTTGTTCCGATCTTGAATTTATCGTTGACTGTTTTTTTATCTTACATCTGAAGTCAAGTATTATATTAAACGAGATGATGAATTTTAATGAATTATATGCAAAAATCTCTTATTCAATAACTAGTGAAATAATAATGATTGGAAAGTCTAAAACAGTCGAAGTATTCTTGAAAACTGCGGCTAAAAAATTAAGATTTTAAGTAGTGGTCGCTAAACTTCGCTAACGTAAGGTCTGTTGTAATGTAGCGATATTTTCTTAAATGTTGTCATTTATCATTATTTTGGTGTTCTATACTATTGAATGTTTTTTATCATGTGACTTGTTTACTCGTATCTATAGTAATTATAAAATGGCTTTGTCGCTTTCTCATGCCGGTATTAATAGAACAGTGATTACGGATTCAGCTAAAGGTATACAGTGGGCCCTGGATACAGTAACACCCTTTAAGATAACATCTCGTTATAATAACACAAAATCTCTTTCCCCGCTCTCATTACTGTAACAAGCTTTTATTTTTAATAACACCAAATCTCTTCCCCCGATCACGTTCATGATGAAAAACGGATTATGATGAAAATCTGCAATATCTATTATAATAAACTAAATAACAATTATACCATAGTATTTAGCAATATAAACATTATTGCAAAATTATTACAAGAAATTGTCGATAATTCTGGCCAAAATTATCCCATGATCTGCCAAAATTTTCACCGTTTTTCATCATGATCCCTCACAATTAATGCTAGTAAGTCAATTTAAATAAAAGTCTAAATGGCGGGCTTATAGCCATAAGTGGCACACAAATGGTCGCAGCCTCCGCAAAACCTGCACTGGATTGTACAAATTATTCAGTTTTTCGGTTAAGGTAAAAACATTTTTCAATTTCTTAAAGTACTTTTTCTAAGCAATATTACAAGTGAGTTATAAAATTACCCTATTAAATCCCTGTTACGTTAATTTATTATTACAAATACGTTGTTTTTGAATAAATTAAAATTGAAGGAGCATAGTGGAAAATCCATTTGATTGGATAGAATAAGAGGGGAGATTTGCAATCTATCGCTATTGTCTAATTATCGTTTTCTTGGTTTGGCATTAAAAAATGGGAGTCTCACAAATCCCAAATCTCACAATTAATCAATTGTAATGAAATACTATGGTATTTGGATTTTGATCAATACTATTGGAAAATCTTAGATTTCATCTTTTTGAGTTCATTTTATAAATGAAAATGATTTGGTAATTATATAATTAAGAATACAAATTTAAATTATAACATTAAGTTGGTTTTGATCACATACGTATATAATTCTAAATTAAATTGAATTTGGATATATCAGATATAATAAGTGGAATTTGGACAAATCGAATTTAAATTTTGATTTATGGAAAAATATTGTTATAATAAAGGATAAATATTGTAAAATACAATATAAAATATCTGGGATATATTATATTTTATTCTATAAAACTTGTTATATATTGTACAAAAATAAATACATACTTGATCAAAACTAAAAAAAATATATTACTACTATTTCAAGTTTTTTCATATAAGAATAATTAGAAATGGCAAATAGTGATTGTGTTTATAATATGTAAATTGTAAATAGAAAATAGAAAGATAAGAAATAATAATATTGAATGGTTAACAAAATATAAAAAAATATGTATAAAAATCAAATAATTTTTTTTGGTTTGTTTTATATTAATTTCAAGTTATATATATAATATATAACAAAATTAAGTTATACAAAAAGAAATTAATAAAATATTTAATTTAAATATGCTAATACACATTTCTACAATAAATTACAAGAAATACAAAAAAAGCATAATAAAATTGAAATTATTTCTTTATAATGAAAATTTTATTTTTATTAGTAAATATTTTTTGTTTTTATATCAAAAGAAAGCTAAGAGCCTGTATTTTAACATATTTTTTATAGATTTTTTAAATTTAATTTCAGAAATATTTCAGATTGTAAAGTTAATTACACAAACTTTTTATAATTAAAATTTAATAATTTGAATTTATAATTATAAAAAATTTGTATAACTAATTTTACAATCTGAAATATTTCTGAAATTAAATTTAAGAAATCTATAAAAAATATATGTTAAAATACAGGTTCTTAGCTTTCTTTTGATATAAAAACAAAAAATATTTACTAATA